ACATATTTCTTCAGAACACCCATGTACCTCTCGAAAGGAAACATGTTGTGTAGGTACACAGGCCCGAGAATACCGATCTCTTTGACAAGTTAACAAAGCAGATGCGTCATTATATTGAAAAATGAAGGTGGAAATATCAACTCAAAGCTGACAAGACATTGCACCACATCATTTTGAAGGGCTTCTAATCTATCCGGATCGATGACCTTCTGCGAAATTGTGTTCATGAAATGTCACGCCCGGAATTTCTATCCAAAATTCCAAACGCTTACATGTGTGTTAAACCCTCGTCCAGGAATCAACCGAGGCACACAATGACAAATTAATAATAGAGTACAAATAAATAACTATTTAATATTCGCAAATAATAAAAGATTACAGAGGTAGATAGTTCCTCTCAAAGAATAACATTCTACGCAGCGGAAATATAAAACTATAACGAACTACGGAACAGCTATGGCGACTCCACTCCACAGGCATCTTAACCAAGAACAAGCCTAATCCTCCAGATCATCACCTTCACTGAGATACTCTTCTTCTGATGAATGAATATTGCAAGAATGAGAATATGACATACTCAACAAGTCACACAGCAAATATGCAAGTGCACAGAATAACAAAGGATGGCATAATATAGCTCATTTGCAAAAACAGCATTTAACAAATATTTAAGAGAATAGTAAAACAGTTGTATAATTAATCAATATTAAATATACACCATACAACCCACCCATGTTGCATAGGCCCAACCACCTTTGAACAACCAACCCCGGTTGAACAAATTAAACCTCCAAACCAGGAATTACCCATTCCAAACCAGGAATTAAATTAATTACCACATTATTAACATTGATGAGTAGTGTGAAACTAATCACGAAAAACATTGCTCAACTCACCCATAACCGCGGGTACGGCTATTCGAATAGTTTAAACTCTGATCAGAGGTGTACCACTGTACCCACAAGACACAACCCCACATCATGTCACCATGTGCCTCAATACCACCACGGTACCTCGGAAAGGAGTTGTGACAATACCCCTTGCACAACATAACCCATTACAGCGCACCTTTCCTGGATCATAATCACCCCCTTATAAACAAGGCATGGACTCCCCAGCGACCCCCACGGACTTCTCGCCGCTTCTCAGTCTGGCACCCCGTAATGAATCATGCTATACAAATGATAAAGCCGTTGCCCACGCTGGCTTGTGGTTGGCACGATAAATGTTTCACAACAGTAGCTCGTGAACCGGTCCTTAATTGTCATGAGCACAACCATCAAAACCATATGCTCACAACCCACCTTATCCAGGTTTTAATTATCAATTAATTAACATCACACGATTTACCATCGTGAGCTACCATTGAATATAACCCTAATTAATAATAATAACATAGTTTATAAATAACCCCTTTAGTTAGCTAATGTTTCTAAGCATGGCTAAGCAACTTACGTATAGCATTTAGCTGAACCAATCCAATATATAAGGTTCATGCTAATCAAATTGTAACCCATAGGAAAAATAAGATCATCTTCGGCCATTAATTAACTGGGAAAGGTTCACCACCCGATGACATTCGAAAACAATGCATAGTTGAAATAAAATAATAGCTTTAAACGGGTTCAACATGCTCAAAGGGTTGTATGGGATCTTTGTGACTTGCCTTGGGCTTCCGCAAACGCTTCGGAACCTTCCTCAAAGGAAACGCTCTCCTCCGGAACGTCGGAAACTAAAGCAATTAAACAAAAATCAACAAAACAGTACAAAAACAAGCATAAACAGTACATGTGGATATTTTTAACATGTAGATCTTGATTTTAGAAAAATTTAGCAACTTGAACCACCTGAAACGGATCTACGGTTATTTAGTTATGATTTTCCGAAGTTTTAATCTATTAGAAAATCGGGAAAAAGAAAAACTGATGACGTCAGCATGACGTCATCCATGGAGGCCGGCTAGGGTTGGCGACCTCGCCGGAGCTAGGGTGGTCGGCCGGGGATTTGGAGGGCATGTACACGTAGAGGACGACGACGCGAACCCAACGGTACTCACCACAACGACAAACGACGCACGACGACGGCCGGCGACGAGAGGACGGCGGCGGCGGCTCGGTCGGCCGGCGGCGACGGAGCTCCGGTGACCGGCGGCGAAGAAGGATGGGCGGCCGGGCTTCTCCACCCCTTGGCGCACCTCTTGGCGGCGGCGGCAAGCGGCGACGACGGCGGAGACGGCGCGGCGGCGTGGCCGAAGATGGCCGCCGGCGGCGGCGGGTTGGGCACGCGCGGCGGCGACGCTACGGAGCACGAGAGACCACGGGAGAGGGGGCAAACGAAAGAGGGCGACGAGGTGGTTCTATATATAGCCTTGGATTGAAGAGATCGGACTCCTCCCGCAAGAAATCGACTCGGGAAATCAAAAACTCGGTTTTGGAGATAAACTCGAAAACGAGTTTGATTCGGATAAAATACCCAACGATTTGCTCCGATTCTTGGGGGAAAAGATAGAGGAGAACGAGACCCTCAAAAATCCGGAAGAAAAGAGGCCGGATTGGGGTGGATTTGAGAGGAGAAGGGGGCGGCTCGGGCGGCTTTAGCCGGCCGGCTCGGGCACGGCTGGAGGTTGATGATGGATCCGACATGTGGGCCCCACATGTCGGTGACACGAGAGAGAGGAGGGCGGGCGGCGTCGGCTGGGCCGGCTTGGGCCGGTTCGGCCGCGCGAGGAGAGAGAGTGTTGGGCCAAAAACGACCCAACAACTTAAAGGAGGGCTTTTTGAACTTTTTAAATAAAAATAATTTGTGAAATGTTGTTTCAATTATTAAAAATACTTCCCTTGCTCAAATAATTCCCAGAAAATTCTAGAAAATAGAGGAGCAAGTATAGTATTTAATAAAATTTTATCTAGCTCATTTTTATGTTGAAAATTTTCCTAGAAAATTAGGGTTTAGCTTGTAGGCTTTTAAAATAATTTCTAAAAATGATTTAAAATATGCATTTTTAATTTAGGCGATTTTTAGGGCGTGACATGAAAGCACATAGCTTTGTTATTGTTGATCAAACATTGTCTGGAAGGATACCCCGAATTATAACTGGTAGCAGCTGTGTCATCAACACGTGACAGTCATGAGACTTTAGGTTTGTGAACTTCTTCTCCTTCATGCTTATTATTCGCTTTATATTCGTGGTGTATCCAGATGGTACCTTGATGCTCTCCAAGCATTCAAACATACTTTCCTTCTCTGCCTTGCTAAACGTGTAGCTGGCTGGACTCAAGTAATGGCTTTCTTTCTCCTTTGGTTCCGGGTGAAGGTCACCGTGTTATTCCGTATGCTTCAGATCATTACGTGCTTCCAGTATATCTTTCGACTTTCCATATACACCTAGGAAGCCAAGCAAGTTTACGTAAAAGTTCATAGTCAGGTGCATCACGTCGATTGCGTGGCGGACGTCCAAGAATTCCCAATAGGGTAACTCCCAATAAATAGAGTTCTTGTTCCACATCACCGCGTGACCATTTTCGCTCTCTATAGGCTGGCTGCCAGGCCCCTTTCCAAACACTACTTTAAGATCTTTCACCATAGCAAACACTATTTTCCCGCTGCGATGTTTAGGCTTCGTACGGTGGTCCGGCTTATGTTCAGAGTGCTTGCCTTTCTTCCATACAGGGTGGTTTGCAGCAAGGAATCGACGATGACCCATGTACACAACCTTCCTACAATGCTTAAGATACGTACTTTCAGTTTCATCCATATAGTGAATGCAAGCCTTGTACCCCTTGTTAGACTGCCCGGATAGGTTGCTAAGTGCAGGCCAATTGTTGATGGTTATGAACAGCAGCGCTCGTAGGTTAAACTCCTCCTGTTTGTCCTCGTCCCACACGAGGACACCTTCTTTCTTCCACAACAGTTTCAGATCTTTGACCAGTGGTCTTAGGTAAACATCAATGTCGTTACCGGGTTGCTTGGGGCCTTGAATAATAATCGGCATTATTATGTACTTCCTCTTCATGCATAGCCAAGGGGGGAGGTTGTAGATACACATCGTAACGGACCAAGTGCTATGGCCGCTGCTCATCTCTCCAAAAGGATTCATGCCATCTGTACTTAAACCAAATGTTCTGTTGATGTTCCGCCACTGCGAACCATCGGCGGGGTGTCTCAGCATCCCGTCCAGTTGACGTTCTTCAGTGCGCCAACGCATCATTCTGGCATTCCCCTTGTTCCTGAACAAATGCCTTAACCGTGGTATTATAGCCAAATACCATATCACCTTAGCAGGAATTCTCTTATTCGTTGGCTGCCCGTCAACTTCACCTAGATCATCTCGTCTAATCTTGTATCGTAGTGCTTTACAAATAGGGCATGCTTCTAGGTTCTCGTACTCCTCACCGCGATATAGGATACAATCGTTCGGACATGCGTGAATCTTCTGAACATCCAGTCCTAGAGGGCAGACTGTCTTCTTAGCCTCGTACGTTGTCTCGGGCAATTTGTTTCCCTCCGGAAGAATGTTCTTGAAGAGTTTCAATAAATCGCCAAATGCCTTGTCACTAACACCATTTTTTGCCTTCCATTGCAAGAACTCCAGAGTGGTATCCAACTTTTTGTGCCCCTGCTCGCAACCTGGGTACAACGACGTTCTGTGGTCCTCTAACATCTTGTCCAATTTATGGGCCCCCTTATACAAATTGTAACTACTGATTTCTTGACTAAGGTTGATAGTTTAACTTTTCACTGCTTTAAAAAATTGTTTTAGATATGTTTAAATTAAATGACATTTGAATAAGGATAGGGATTTACGAAACACATTATGTGACACATATATTATAATACCTATATGTGGGTTTTCTGCCCCATAGACCCTAAATCATGTTGTTTCCTGGAAGTAACTATTTTGAACATGGAAGTTGGAGAAAACGAGCTAGTAGTGTTGACAATCATTATGTACGTTCCTCGGAACAAGAAAATGATTATGCATGTCAATGTTGTCTTTTCAGGTATAAAATAGTAAAGGGCATTATCAGCGCTCTTGTTTACCTTCACCATGATAGTGATCCATACATCCTTCACAGGGATATCAAACCGAGCAACATACTCCTGGACAATAATTTCAATGCTAGATTAGCAGATTTCGGGCTGTCCAGAACTGCTGACAATGGAACAATACAATCGTCCATGGTTGTAGGAATAGAAAATTACTTGGATCCAGAGTGCAGGAAGACGGGAAAGTTCAACTGTAGCTCGGATGTCTACAGCTTCGGGCTCGTTCTGCTAGAGATTGCTTGCAAGAAAGATAAAAATAGCTATGCACAAGTCTGGGAAAGGTACATCGACAGAACTCTGATGCAGGCTGCTGACGATAGGTTACAGGGTGCGTTCGACGAGACGCAGATGGAGCGTGTGATCATCTTGGGGCTGTGGTGTTGTCAGCCCAATATTGAGATGCGACCTATGATGGAGCAAGCAATGGATTTCCTGGAGAGTGATGGGCCGTTGCCTAAACTGGCCAAACCTGAAACCTCTTCAAGTGCGCCAAGCAATTGAACCAGGATCAGTCGAAATATAATATTTGTGTGTTTTACGATGGATTTTTTCTTGCTTTTTAATTAGTTTGGTCATGTAGAAGTTACCACGTACATAGAGGGGTTGCAGTTGTGTTAATTTGCTTGTGGCTGTAGCCATCGTACATGTGCATGTGGAGTCAGTTTTTGTATAGCTAGCCACAGACTATTCAGACGTGGGATGTTGTGTTATTTGCCGCCGTGGCATCAGGAGTCGTTTATACGTTTGTTTTGGATTCACGTTTGAGTATAAAAGAAAACAAGAAAACGCCGCAGTCGTTGTGCAGCACCATATTTTTTTCCCTCGCTTTCTTTTTTTTCCACTCCCAGCTGGTGAGCTCGCCGAACGGCGTCATCACCGTGCGACCGCCCAGTTGCCCCCGTCGTCCCTCGCTCCCGCACCAAAGGAGGAGGAGGAGGAGGAGGAGGAGGAGGGGAGGCGCGGCGGAGGAGAAGAGAAGGGGACAACCGGCGATGATTCGGAGCTGGCGAGCTCAATCTGCCGCCGGCGCCGTCACTAATAGGGCCGCCCGGCATCGTTGTCATCGCTCATGCCTCGCTCCGCCCATGATCCGCCGCCGCGCCGTCGCCTTTAGGGCTGCCTAGCGCCGCTCGGGCTGTCCCGGCACTCGCGCCTCGCGCCGCCCTCGATCCGCGCTGTCTACGTCGCCGCTAGGGCTACCCGGCACCGCTCAGGCCGTCCCGCTGCTCGCACCTCGCACCGCCCGACTGCTCCATTGCCGCTCGTCTCCGTCCCACCGTCAGCCTTGGTTCCTCTAGTGGGGGAAGAAAAGAGAAGAAAAAGAGGGGACTTCCTCCGGTGAGGAAATAAAAAAGGGCGAGGAGAGAGGGAGAGTTAAAAAGTAAAAATAGATGGTACCTGTGGGACCCATTATAAACAACTTGCACTGTGGAACATGTGGCTTAACACGATCTTAGTCTATGTAGCATGTGAGGAATGACAAAAACGAGCGACACACTGCTAATGCCCTAAGATAACCGATTCTAAGAAACTGTCGGAGGGGATTTTGTAGTGCGATTCTCTCTTTGTATGTGATGGTGCACATAGAGGATGATCGCCTGCAACACCTTTTGTATCAAGTGAACTCACTCAACTACACCGACTGCTCAAGAACTTCAACTCATAAGTAATGTAAAATCAGTCTTAAATAAATAACTTCAATAAACCAGTAGAAAGAAATAAACTAAATCGTAACTGATCATTAATAGAAAACGGAGACTCCTCCAATTCTGTTTGCAGATCTCTATATGGCCACAACGAATGTCAGAGCACGATTAATGCGAGACTTGGTGGGTGGGCTCATCCCGTCAAGTTTGAATATCATTGCCAACTCGGCCAAAACTTTTACTCCATAGGCAGCATGCCCTATCGAAGCTACGAGCCGCATTGCACGAGTAGAGCGTCCTCCTGCAAATGTTCCAGGGGAGAGTGCAAAGAACAAAAACACTTGAGGACGGGAGAGAAGGGCCTACCCAGCAACGTCTAGAGCATATCTTTTTTTTTAATAATGGATTTAAATAAAACCCGGCCTCTACATCCCAAGAGATGTACACAGCCAAAGTCTAGAGCATATCTGCCATCGATGAGCTCCTCCACTCCACAAGGTTGATAGGATGGCGGGTGAAGGAGAGTTCACCTTCATTGCCTCCACAGCCATCAGCCCAATCATCACAATTGTGGCCTCCTCGAGTGAGAGAGAGATAGCTAGATCCGGCGTTCGATGGTGGGACAGGGGAGAAGATGGTACTGGAAGAGGAGCGGTAAGGTGTTTGGGGGGAGTGAGAGAGTGCCATTTTTTCGACAAATTATCTTTTCAAAAACTTATTTCAAAAATAGACCTTGCTAAAACTTCAACCAAAAATGCTTAGTGACCTCAGTGCCAGGCCCATTAGCACCAACCCCCCACCAATATGGTGCCCAAGCAGATCTGCTAGTCGACGTGCCAGGATCTCAGTGCCAAACACCACGACGCTGAGCTACCCAACCTCAGCACCAAGCATGTTGGCGCTAAGGTAAGGGAATTAACCCCATGCACGGCTGCACCCAGCCGCCTTCTTCCTCTCCTCTCCTCTCCTCTGCCTAGGATTTGTGCCGTGGAGCCACCCTCTACTCTCTTTCCCAAATGTAGGCAAATCCACCCCAAATCGAAGGGGAATTCATGGGTAGTGCGTTGGAGATTGATTTGCATGGTGAAGTCCCTCCGAAAACCGTAATTTCCCCAATGTTTGCCCATGCATATTGAGTATTTTGATTGAAATCGTGGTTTGTTAAATGTGGCACAAGATGCGTTGTGAATTAGGGAATGTGGGTCAGTATGTAACCATGTCGATGTTGAGGTTGACTAGTGCGGCACTACGTGGCCGCCCAAGAGTTGTGTTGGGTAGATTGGTACCGTGGCTAAGTCCTAAACCTTAGCGCTAATGCGGCTGGCGCTATGGTTGAGCTGAGTAGCGCCATTGACTATGGTGCAAAGCTTGCGGGCCTCACTTCATGAACCTACCACGTCGGCGAGCCAATGGGCTCAAGCTCCATGTGGACAGGGGATTCAGCACCAACGTGCCTAGCATTGAGCCGTAGGACCTTGGGCCCGATGCTATTGGCGTTGAGGTCAAGGGCAGAAGTATCCGGTGCAATCACCTAATTCGGTGCAACTATGCAACTCTCATCCTACACCGTTGGATCGAGAAATGGACGCCTGAGATTCGTCCACGTCACCATGAGTTAAAATTTAACTTGCAAATTCACTCATGAGTTAAAATTTACTGGGAGCTAAATTCTAAATTTTAACTCATAGTTGTTAGATTTAATTGGGTAATTGATCCATTTAAATCAATTAAACCAAATAAATTCCAAGGCTCATTATGCTAGGAATTCATGTGAATTCATTCTTTTATGGGATATCAATGGGATGAAGAGTTTTGAGAATTAATCTATTTAATTAGGGAATTGGTAACTTATATTAATTAGTTCTAATTGATGGATAGTTGATGGTTGTGTAGTGGAGGATGGTTCATGGCTAGTTGATGACAATTAGTTGCTCTATTCCTCTTCCTATTCCATTGGTGATGGTAGTGTAGTGGAGGATGGTTGATGGCTAATTGATGAGAATTAGTTATTCAATTCCTCTTCCTATTCCATGACTCTTACTCTTCATCTTCCATTCCTCTTATAAAATGAGAATGGATTTGATCTCCCGCGAAAAAAGTGAGACACACTTTCATCCATTTTCCAACGCTGTTGCTGCTACGGTAATCCCATCCCGACGAGTGTGTGCACACGCGTTGGGAGAGTAGGCCTCCGAAACCACGCGCTGCTGCGACGTTTGCACGGACGGGCGGGCGATCAGGTTTTTGGGGAGCGCGAGGCGCGACTACTCACTGTTCGTCAACATCTACTTCACCTTCACCAATATGTCGAACACTGGAGACAACGGCAACACTGGATACAAGGAGAAGGAGGCTCCCGTCAACACCAACGGAGGCAATACTTCCTCAAACTCCAGCGGAGGACCATTCTTGGGGTATAACATTCTTACATTATTTCAATTAGAAGTTTTATTGTTAATGTTCATCGCAATGTCAACATTGAGTTATTATGTGATTGTTGATGTTTATTCTACATTAAGCATGCTCATGTTAATTACATTCACCACTATCACTAGATCAAATCCCATTGTAAATATCATGTTTATTATCTTGTTATTTTGGATTAAAATATGCCGAATTATGACCAAATTTCCAACAATCCAAAAACCTGATAGGTCATTTTCGGTAGTTGGCTTTGTTGCAACACTGAAACCACATGCTTTTGATGGTTCTAATTATATGAGATGGAAAGCACGTGCACTACTGTGGTTGACAGCGATGCAATGCTTCTATGTTTCACGGGGCAAATGAAGTGAACCGCCTCTCTCTCCTGAGGAGGAGGCTAAGTTCGAGGCTTCAGATTGCCTGTTCCGTGGAGCATTGATCAGTGTACTCGCTGACAATATAGTGGACGTGTACATGCACATGCCTTCAGGGAAGGACATGTGGGATGCACTTGAGGCCAAGTTCGGAGTTTCTAACGCCGGCAGCGAGCTGTATGTCATGGAGCAGTTCTATGACTACAAGATGGTCGATGACCGTTCTGTAGTGGAATAGGCTCATGAGATTCAGATGCTGGCAAAGGAACTTGAGAACAACAACTGTGAGTTGCCGGACAAGTTTGTGGCGGGTGGCATTATTGCCAAATTGCCACCTTCTTAGTCGGACTTTGCTACTTCTCTAAAACACAAGAGGCAAAAGTTCAGTGTTACTGATCTCATTGGCTCTTTGGGTGTTGATGAGAAGGCGAGAGCAAAGGACAACCGGGGCAAAAATATCGAGGGAGGTTCTAGCGCCAATTTGGTGCAAAAGAAGAACCTTCACGCATCCCACAACAACAACAACAAGAAAGTCAAGCCTAATGTCAAACCAAAGGCTACAACCAATTTTAAAAAGAAAGGCAAGGGAAAGGCCAAGGGCGACTGCTTTGTGTGCGGTAAGCCTGGGCATTGGGCGAAGAATTGTCCTGATCGCAAGGACAAGAAGTCTGCCAACATGGTTATTAGCGAGGGCGGAGGAACATCGAGGTACGGTAATTTTTTACCTACAGTTCTCTCTGTTTTTCATTCACCTGATTGGTGGGTTGATACTGGTGCTAATATTCATGTATGTGCTGATATTTCCCTGTTTTCTTCTTATCAGGTCGAGAGAGGTTCCTCCTTGTTGATGGGAAACGGGTCGCTTGCGGTTGTTCATGGTGTTGGTACGGTCGATCTGAAGTTTACTTCGGGAAAGACCGTGCAGCTGAAGAATGTGTAGCATGTCCCTTCAATAAAAAAGAATCTAGTTAGCAGCTCTCTACTGTGTAGAGATGGTTTTAGACTTGTGTTTGAATCCAATAAATGTGTCGTATCTAAAT